TAGCGCTTTCGCAGCTTCTCGACAAGTTCAAATGTGCCCATTTTCTCAAGTGAGGCTAGCTCCTCACCTATGGCTATCTTCCACTTGGTGGCATCATGAGATGCCATAGCCTCATCATAGGATCTGGGCTCAAGGATGGTGGAGAAGCATGAGAGATGAGAACGCATGACGAAGCAAAGGAAACATAGCGAGGGTTGGGATGAGGAGCACGACGAGGGCGGGTGGAGGCAAGGGACGGAGAAGTGGGAGGCGGAGACACGGGAGGAGGAGAAGGAGGAGGAGAGGAGGGAGAAGCCATGGAAGAAGGTTCCGCCTCAACAAAATGAGGGATGGGGGCACGAGGAGGAACGGGAGAGGAGGAAGGCTCCCCTTCACAAGGTGGGAGGGAGGGGGAGGAGGAGGAGGAGGAGAAGGTGCCACATCATCGGTGGCGGGGACAATAGTGATGATGGGAGGAGAGAGGGGGGAAGGAGGAAAACGATCCTCAAAGAAAACCACATCACGAGTAATGACGAGACGATCATGAGTAAAGTCCCAAACACGCCATGCCTTGTGAGAGGCGGAGAGACCAAGAACATAGCGGGTTGGGCTCGAGCATCAAATTTGTGACGAAGATGGTCGGGGGTGCGATAGTAACAAAGACACCAAAGGTACGGACGAGGGACACGTCAGGCTTAGAGCGATGCCAAGCTTCATAGGGTGTGGTAGAAGTGAGACGCTTGGTAGGGCACCGGTTGTGCACCCATGCGGCAAGGGCAAGAGCCTCACCCCACCATTCATGAGACGTGTGAGCATGCATAAGAAATGAGCGGACCATATCAAGAAGAGTACGGTTCAAGCGCTCGGCGGCACCTTTTTGTTGAGGCGAATATGGGGCAATATAGTCATGCGTGATCGTCCAAGCGGGTCGCTCAACCCCAAAATTCGCACACTCCAAATTGCATGCTGCTGCTGCTGCTGCTGCTGCACGCCTTCAGCAACATGACCCGATGTAGATTGCGCCGATATCTGCCCCGCTGCAGCTTGCCGCGCGAATGCCTCCTCGCGGATTCAGCGTCGTGGATTCTAGTTAGCACGCATGGGCCAACTTGCACCACCCACTCCCAGTCTTATCCCCTTGATTTTCCAGGAGGAGCCGCTATCCGGGGAAGCAGATTGGTAAGCTGTAGGGATGATTCGAATCCTCCCCTTCTGTTTCCTCTGCCCTCCTCCCTCCCTCCTATGCCCTCCGCTAAGACAGCCAATCTCCGGACGTGCATCAGTCACCACTGCCAGGTAGCAGCGCTCGTGTTATATAATGGCACCAGGCAATCGCATTACCGTGCCATCCAGTCCCCAATTCCACTCCCCTCGCTCTCACTCCCACTTGATTCAGTTCTCCCTCTCAGTCACTCCATTCCTGGTGGGGCTTCTATCCAGCGCCTTGCCCACCTGGCCTATGCCTACTGGTTCGTTTGGTTCGTTTGGTTTTCCCTACCTGTTCCTCCTGCTCAAGTCAGCCTCTAGTGAGAGTCTCCTAGCCTCACCACTAACTTCAACGTTGGTTCTACTTCATTTGTTTCAACCCGCCCATCCTTCTATCATCCATCCGTCAATCCATCCATGGTGGTTGCTGATTTCCCCAACCACCACCTGGAGCCAGGGCTTGCACTCGGGAGTGAGCAGATTCATCGCATTCAGCTGATCCCATACACGGAATCCCACAGCCTAGCCCAGGCTGCGTTTCCAGGCCTGAGTTTCAATCGTGACTGCCAACAAACAACACGCGGCGCATGGTGCGTGGCAGGAGAGGGAGCAGAAGCGGCCGACCAGTCTGTTGTGGCATGGAGTGGCGAAGAAGCGATGCCATGAGAGGAGCGATGTGCACAACTCGCTCCCTCCACAACTCAGGGCCTACTGCCATGCTGCTGCTACTACTGCTGTTATGACTTTCACCGCTGGTCTCTCGACTGTCCCTTCTACTGGTGTTACCACTGGTGGCTCTAGTGTCCCTTCTACTGCTGCCACTACTGCTCCCATTGGAGCTGACACCATTGCAGTCGCTACTGCTCCCACCGCTTTCACTGTGACGTCAACTTATTCCAAGTTGCTGCTGCAATGGTAACTGCAACTTATCCCAAGGGTGCTGCTGCAATGGTGACTGCAACTTATCCCAAGGATGCTGCTGCAGCTGCAGCTGTTGGGGACGCTGCTACCGGTGGTCTCAAGAACCTATGCCATCCCTCTGTGGTTGATGCTGCACAAGTAAAAAAAATCATACGTGGAGGGGGGCTCTGAGTAGGGCACACGCCACGGGCTGTGCCACATGGCAGCTTGAGCGGGCCATTTAGGGCCTGCAGCATGCCGCTGTCTTCCCCTGCAGATTTGGTCTTGAGGCGGGTACTGGCGAGACCCCCCCTCTAGGAGCAGTCACGGCCTCACTCTGTTTCCTGAGACCCATCGCGGTTCAGAGGTTTGAAGCATTAATCTGGCAACATGCAGGGAATGAGTCATCTACCCCGCCCTCTTCCCTCTCTCCTTCGCCCAGCCTGCAAAGGGCTGCCACACTCCATCTTTTGCTGGCCTCCTGAATTCCATCGCGCCCTCCCTGCAACACCACCGACGTGTGTTCTCCGCCCCTGCCGCCTCTGCCACTCAGTGGCCCTTCAAGGGCCATGCCCTATCTCTGTGCACTCCAGGCATGGAAGCTTTGTATCCAAAGGCTCTTGTGCATGCACAGCAGCAGCAGCAACAAGCATCAGCAGCAGCAGCAGCAGTTGCAGAGTACTGCATGTGGTGTCTCCTTGAATGTGTGATGAATGGACCTTCCTTTGGCTCTGCTAGCACTTGGCAGGTGAGGCAGGATATGCAGGAGAGAGGAGTGCAAGGATGTTTTGAAGGGCCTAATGGCCTCTCTATGCCTGGCCATCTCTTTATGCCAGCAAACATGCCAGGCGACAGAGCAGATGGTTCAGATGATGCTGCTGATGATGATGATGCGCTAAAAGATACTGCTTCGTTGGAGATATTTAGATCTCGCACCAGTTTTCCTGATTTGGGTATGCAACGTGATTTGGCTAGGTCAAACTAGTCATGGTTTTTTCTTTGCAAAGCGACATGTTGTTTGCCCATTTAGATGGGGACTTCTGCAGTGTAGCAATGACCAATGATGCAATTAAACCGACTGAAAGAACAAGCAATGGCATATTACCTCTGATGGAAAATACTAGCATGTGTCAAAGAGTCCAATCATTCACCAAAGGTAGTGCATTGGAAATGGAGAGAGAACTTTTGAAGGAATGATATACAAACTCTGAAGTGACCCTCTTTTCTAAACGTAATAGATGAAATCGATGCTTGTCCAATCGGCAGTCTGCGTGAGGTGGGAGTCTCAACTCAGGGCGTGTCCCAAGTGTGCGTTTGATTGCGGCTGGGTGGGATGCTATCTGGATCAGAAGGATGAAACAAATAAATCAAGCGTATGGGTAGGGTGATGAGCGAAAATGTACGCTTGGGACAGCCCCTCTCCACCACCAGTTGTCTCCCCGCGCCATCCATCCCCTTCCCCCACAGTTCCACTCCCCTCGCCCCACCACACCACGCCCTGCGTGGCCTTGGAGCAGCGCGCCCCCCGTTCGTGAGGGGAGTGGGGGGAGGACCCTGGCCTAGACATTTCCCTCCCCAAACTCTCCTCCCCAAAGTTTCCTCCCCCGACTCCCCTCCCCAGTGAGTGGCGATTCAACTTACCTTCTGCCTTCAGGACTTTTGTTCCCAAGGTACCGAGGGTGTGGTTTAAGTAGTTCGATGGGCTCGTTTGGAAATCCTTGAATCAGGTAACCCGACAATTTTGTTGTGATCCTTTATCGAAACAATCTTCGAAACAACACCTGAAGACAAATTGATTCCAACCAATCACGGAAATCACAGGAAACGGTGTCAGACACGATCGAGCACGACGACGCAAGTACCGATCTGCGGTTGGAGATTCGTGCGCGAAATTTGCGAAAGCGTTTGGTGCCTTTGTTTCGTAGCGTGACGAATGTAACGAAAGATGGCTTTTCTTGCAGTTTGGGCACTTGCACTGATCACCCATAATGGTCTGTTTCTCGTCTCATCTCACCTTGCCTCGCATTGCCATGCCACTGTACTGCAGCCTCGCCTTGCTCTGAGCGGCACTTGACAGTACAGAACAAACTAGTAGGGTGTTCCTGACAGATTGGCATGCGGAACCGGACCGGAGACGGTTAGGCGGCGAGGAAGGGGTTTCAGTTGCGGTCGATCCGATAGATCATAGAAGCTGCCATCTGCCTTCGCTGTCCGTCTCTCCTTGCCCCCTCCCTGACGTCGTGTCGTCGTGTCCCTCCTGCCTATCGAGATAATCTCCACTAGGCAGTAGAATCGCGCCAATGTCTCATTTTTCTTGTCCTCCGTAAGAAGGTCATCTCAATCATGTTTCCGCGCTCCTCTCTTCCGCCAGCTCTTGCGGGCTGTGCCAGCTGGCGCCACACACCCCGACGACGAATTAATGACACCAGCAGAGCAGCTGTTGGGGCAGCAGCGTCTTGTTCGCCAAGCTGCGTTCCAAGAACGGGTTTCAATTCAATTCAATCAACGCGGCTCTTTTGAAAGGGGCCCCGATGGTGGCAGATTTTAACAATGGCAGGAGCGAAGCTCGATTCGACCGAGCAATCGTCCTTTTGAGCCTAGTATAACTGCACCTTCAAAATGCTTTGGAATTCGCTTCGGCCGAACGGCACAGTACTGGCACAGTACTTCTGACCTAGTAATAGGCTCGCTCCGGCCGAACGCGACAGTACGTCAGACGCAAAACCAGGCGTTGCCCTTCCCTGGCAGTGAGTGTCCTGGGGGACACATGCTGCGATGACACGGTACTGTAGGACCGAGCTGTTAGTGGGCGACGGATCTGTTGCGAGATCGGGCCCGTATCTGCCTCGCTGCAAGCTGTCGTCGTGATGACTTGGCGCTTTACACGGCCATAGAGTTTAACGCGTGACGACGGCGACGTCGATCACAAGTAGCACTAATACTGCAAGTACTACAGTACCACAAGTAGTACAGTAGCTACAGTAGCCAGCATATTGGGAAGGCAAAGGGATCACCACTCTCTCCAATCGCGGCGCCACTCTCTCCAATCGCGGATTATTTCGCAACTTCCCACTCTTATCCCCTCTTTTAAGGGACTCCCTCCAGTAGAGTGAAGGAGCTGATTGGGCAGGCAGATCGGAAAGATCCTTCCTGCAAGCGGCGTCTAATATATCTTTCCCATCTTCCCCATCTTTCCTCCCTCCTCCTCCCCATCTTCCCCTTCTCCTCGTCTGCTAGAGAGATCGGAAGGTTCTTCCCCCCTCTCTCTTCCCCCCCCCCTCCCCCTCTTTCCCGCCCCTATTAGCGTCTCCCAGAGCCGCAGAGGTTAGCAGCAGCTTGCACTTGTGCTCGCCTAGTGTGTGCCACACTGAAGCCTTCACGAGGGGGCAACCATGTTCCCACTAGCAACCTCTCCCTAGTACCGTGTCTCCAGAAGAAGCCTCCTCCTAGTACCATCATAGTCGCGGACCAGCAGCGGCAAGCAGCTGCACTCTCGGTATATAATGGCTGCCAGAAAACTGCATCGCCGTGCCATTCAGTGTGCTACTAAACTCTCAGCCTCCGGTTTTTCTCCTCTCAGATACCCTTCTCAGGTGCTCCTTAGAGTCAGCCCGTCACTCGCTTCTATTGACGCTTATAATCCAACGCCTAGGCTCCCGCCTGCCTCAATTCGTTCGTTTGCCCTCTGGTGGCTCTCTGGTGGCCACTCTTCTGCCATACAGATCTCCTCATGCTGGTCTAAGACGTCTTCACTTCTCTTCTCTTCCTTTTGCGGGTCCTAAGAACGCCCGACATCAAAATCATCCTGCGCTTGTCTCTGCTGCCTGTCTTTCTCCTCCAAACCCAGTTCCTACTACTGCTACTCAGTCCACCTCAGTCCACCCCTCCCAGCTGCCTCAGCGCCAAATCTCAATCTCAACGTGGATACCAATTTCGTCCCAGGCTCTTCCCAATTTCTTCCTTGATTTCACTCTCTCATCCATGGCGGTCGCTGAATTCCCCAGCCACCATATGGAGTCGACGCTGATTGGCCGGATTCCACACGGTGATGACACTTTGCATGGCCAAGCGGGTTTCCCAAGTCTCAGATTCAGCCAAGACTGGCAGCAGCGGCACCAGGAGCACCAGAAGAAGGCGCATGACATGTGGCGGGAGTTGCAGCAGAAGCGGCCTGCCAGGTACTTTTGGCATGGAGTGGCGAAGAAGCAGTGTTATCGTTCGAGCGGAGTGCAGAACTCTCTCCCTCCACACCTGATGGCCTACTGCCCTGCTGCTGCTGACACTGCTGTCACCGCCGGTGCTGCTACTGTACCTACTACCGCTGTCATGGCTGCTCTCATTGTTGGGTCTGGTGATGGTTCCAGTGTTGGAGACATCCAGAGTACCTCTCCCCACGGTGGAGCTGTGAGTCCGGCACACGACACGGGCTGTGCCACGTGGCAGCCAGAGCCAGCCATTCAGGGCCTGCAGCATGCTGCTGTCTTCCCCTGCAGCTTCGGCCCTGAGGCGGGTGTTGGCGAGACCTCCTCTAGGAGCACCCACACTCCCTTTCCCCACGTGTCGGTTCTCCATGGTTGTGCAGTCTTCCCTCTCTCATTCACCCACCCTACATTGGGCTGCCGTACCCCATCCTTTGCAGGCCTCCTGAATTCCACGTCGCCCACCCTGCAGCACCACCGCTGGGTCTTTTCTGCTCCTGCTACCTCTGCCGTCTGGTCCCCCTACAATTGCTCGGTTCCCCCATGCCCCCCGTGTCAAATTAGAGAAGTGAATGGATGATAGAGTGAGAGTACACACAGATATACCTAAGTGTTGTACCCTCTAAGACACGACCCTATACAGTCTATACAAACATGACAAATACACATGTTTGACACACCCCCTAGACTGCATAGGGGAATGTCCTAAACAAGCAGCTCAGGGCGGCACTACTAGTCCAACCTCTGAGACAAGGGTCTGAGAGACCAGTCAGAAGGAGTACAGACAAGGCAAGAACAAGAGCAGGGCGGCACTACTAGTCCAGCCACTGGAAGAGGACACAAGTCCAGTCTGAGTATAAATATAAAGGACAGTACAAAGTCAAGGTCCTAGCAAGTGAGAGGCTACAGGAACTAAACCAAGCTGTACACAGTGCCGCTGATGATCTTTAGGCGCCGCGCAAGCGCGTTCGTAAAGATATCAGCCGTGTTGGCACGTAAGGCCAAGTGTACTACGCGAGCCTGCCGTCGCTGCTGTAGCTCACGCAGGAGGAAGTACCGCAGCTGAATGTGCTTTGCTCTGCCCTCGAGTCGAGGCTCCTGACACAGGAGGATCATGGCCCTGTTGTCAGCGAACAGGACCGGGGCAGAGCTAGGCCGCTCACCTAAGTCAGTGAGCAAGAAAGTCAGCCAGCGGAGCTCCTGTGCCGCCATGGCACCAGCGTAGATCTCAGCCTCACAGCTGGACTGCGCAACAGACGAGGAGCGGGTAGCTCTCCACGAGACGGCACCTGAGCCAAGGCTGAAGCAGTAGCCCTGGGTAGACCTGAGTGTCTCAGCGTCGTCTGCCCACGAAGCGTCTGTGTGTCCAGTAAGGACCACTGGCCTGCGTCCTCCTAGCACTAACCCCATGCCCGATGTACTAGCAAGATAACGCAGAACCCTCTTAGCGGCAGACCAGTGCTGCGGTCGGTGTCTGCCTGTGGCCACAAAGCGAGCCAGGATGCTGAGAGGGTATGCGAGATCTGGGCGAGTGCAAGTCATCAGGTACATGAGGCAACCCACCAGCTCTGCGTAGGGTCCGCTGGGCTCTACCAACTCCTCAGACACTGGAGCGGAGAGTCTGTGGTCTACAGGCAGAGGGGTGGGCTGTGCAGAGGAGAACTGAAGGCTGAACCTCTGAAGGACCTGGCGCACCAAGTGTGACTGAGTCAGGGTGATGGTGCGCGCAGCTCTGTCCCTGGAGATGTGCAAGCCAAGGTAACGGCGCAGTTCTCCAAGGTCAGTGTACGTGTGTCTCTTCAGCAGCTCTGCCTTCACGTAGGCCAGTGCGTCCCTGTCTGCTGTGGCAAAGACCAGGTCGTCGACGTAAACAAGGATGTAGAACAGAGTCTGGCCAGCACGAACGAAGAGTGAAGGGTCTGCGGAAGACGGAAAGAACTGCAGGTCAGCAAGCGTAGCACGGAGAGTGTCGTGCCACTCACGGGGAGCCTGACGCAGGCCGTAGACGGGGCGCCGCAGGAGCCACTGGGTCCCAGGAGGGAAGGTGCCAGTAAAGCCCTGAGGACGACGCAAGTAGACCTGCTCGTGTAGGCTGCCCTGAAGGAAGGCAGTGGAGAAGTCGAGGGAGTGGAGCTCGTAGTCACGCTGAGCAGCTAGGTGTAACAGAACCCGAAGAGTAGTCATCTTCGGGGTCGGAGCGAAGGTCTGGAAGAAGTCCACCCCCTCACGCTGACTGAAGCCTCTAGCCACATAGCGCGCCTTGAACACAGGCGGCTCTCCAGGAGGGCGCTTCACCTTGAAGAGCCAGCGGCCATCGACTACGTTCACCCCAGGTGGGGGAACTGCGTCGACGAAGGTGCCGGTTGATCTCCAAGATGCCATCTCCTCCTCCATGGCAGCTATCCACTGCGAGGCCCAGGGTCCCGAAGTCGCCTCAGCATAAGTGCGAGGGGTCGGGATGTCAAAAGCGTCTGGGTCACCCTCAGGGACTAGCAGCATGGAACAGAGATGGGGAGCAGCCTCGGAGAGGAAAGCAAGCTCGAACTGGCGGTCCTCCAGGACGTCACTGCCAAGGGCAGGAGCACCCCCGACAGACGGAGGACAGACAGGGTCAGAGACCAGAGCGGAGGCGTAGTCAAGGCGGCGGGTAGAGGCGAAGTCAGCGACAGCAGCGACAAGAGCGTCAAGGCACGAGGCCGGAACAGACGAGTCGGTAACGAGAGAGGCAAGGACCCGAGGAACAAGGGGACGAGCGGCACGAAGGTAGTCAGACAGCGGGGGGGGTGCAACAACAAGGGAGGACGGAGGAGGCGACGGCAGAAGGGGAGGACGAGACGCGTGGGAACGAAGCAACATAGGGTGGGAGCGCAAGACAAGCGAGGCAGGACGAGCACGGGAGGGACGGAGAGACCAGACGTGCGACGGAGGAGTCGGGTCAGGAGACAGAGGAGGGGACACAGGAGGGGAACGAGGGGGGAGACGGGCAGGGGACGAGTCCGGTGGAGGGAAGACAGGGCCGTAGACAGGAAGAGGAGGAGACGGTCGGGGAGGAACCGACGCAGGGTCGGGGGACGGAAGGCCGAGCAGGCGAAGGGCTGACACCGGCGGGGACTGCTGCTGCGGCGGCACAACGGCGACACCTGGACTGCAAGCTGCTCCTCGGCTACCACCGGCACTCTCCACACCAGCACCCCCAGGGGGACCACCCCCAGGGCTACCGGACGAGCACCCCCAGAGTCAGCGAACGGGTGCTGCGACGGCAGCGGCGGCGGCGGCAACGACGGCTGCAGCGGCGGCAGCAGGGGTGGAGGGGGGGACTGGGGAGAGGACGCCAGGGGAGGGGCGGCCGGCGAGGACTGAACAGGAGGGCCACCAGAGTCAGAAGACTCCTCGACCGGGTCCACCGACGGAAGCGGGGTGACGTGGGACACACCAGAGGGGGCGGGACGGGGAGGAGGAGGAGGGGCCGGGACGACCGGGGAAGGAGTGACCAGGAAGAGGGGGGGGGTAACCGGGGGACCACGGTGGGGAAGCGACGGTAGTAGGAGACAGACTCGTCAAAGGTGACGTCACGAGAGTGAAAGAAGCGGTGAGACGGCGGGTGGTAAAAGTGCCAGTCGGACGCGTCAAGGGGAAAACCGAGGAAGACACAGGGAAGGGTGCGGGCAGTGAGCTTGTCCGTGCCGGAGGCACGGACATGAGCAAGGCAGCCCCAGACGTGGAACGCAGACGCGTCACCAGGAGACCCAGTCCAAAGACGGGTCGGCGAAACCTGCGGCTGCTGAGGGTAAGCCCACAAGTTAAGCTGGTGAGAAGCGTAGCGCACAGCGAACGGCCACAGAAAATGGGGTGCACCGGCATGGATCATGGAGGTGCGAGCCACCTCCATGACCAAACCGATGCGTCGCTCAGCGACCCCATTCTGCTGTGGGGAGTCCGGTAGGGTGAACGTCTGGGTGATGCCCTCCGCACGACAGAAGCGACCAAGGACACCTGAGGCAAACTCGCCACCACGGTCTGAGTGAAGACGCAAGACAGGGAGACTGCGGTGGACACGCGCAGAGACAAGCCAGGGGATGAGAGCTCCAGGCACGTCGGCCTTGCGCTCCAGGGGAAAGACTGTGGTGTAACGAGTGAAGTCGTCGACAAGCACAAGGAAGTAGCGCTCTCGACGCGGCCCAGGGACGGGGGCGGGGCCCAGACGTCCAGGTGCAGGGTCTGCAGTGGTGCGGCGGTAGGGGGAAACGAGGAGGAGTGAGGGGCATGGCAAAGCCGACCCTCGACACAATGCGTGCAAGGTGGGGCTGGGGAGGAGGGAAACGCGGGGAGGGAACCTGGGAGACCAAGGACAAGACCGTGCTGGGACATGTGACGGAGACGCGGGAGTGCAGGGTGACCTAGGCGGTGGTGCCAAATGAGGGTCGGGTGAGTGAGGGACCGACAGAGCAGGCAGCAGCAACCTGGGTGAGCGCTCCAGCCGGGGGGGTCACGGTGTCCAGAATGAACAGGCCGGACACCGGGTCCCGGGGGAACGTGGACAGGGGGGCACCAGTGGCGGCCTCGGTACAGACAGCATACCGCTCGTGACCAGGGAACGTAGTGGTGACGCCAAGGTCCTGGAGGCAGCCGACACCAACTAGGTTCCTGGAGAACGAGGGGATATGCAGACCTGTGAGAGTGCCCGAAGGAACCGCCGGACAGGGAAGGGTGGTGGAACTGCGGGCGACTACCGGACCGCCGGAGGGGTCAGCAAGAGAAACGGCAGCTGGAACAGGAAGCGGCGTCAGGGTGGTGGAGTCGCGGAAGAAACACCGAGAAGCGCCAGAGTCCAAGGTGAAGGAAAGCGAAGCAGAGGCGTCTGGCGACGGAACGACGGCGGAAGCACCAAGACTACACAAAACAGGAGATCCTACGCCTGACGCAGCAGGGGAGGCTAAGCTAGGCACACCTACACTAGGCAATAGTGAGTAATAGGCGGGGAAGCACACTAGAGTCATCAGCATACATCACATGCAGAGCAGAAACAATGGCATCCATGTCCATATCAAAAATCGGAATCTTACGACTAAGCAAACTGTGCCAGTCCGGGAGGTCGGGCGACGGGGCCGAAGCGCTGACGAAACAGGTCGTCCAGGCGACAAAACACGGGGAGTGGAGTGACCGATCTTACCGCAAACGAAGTCGCGGCGAGGACCGGTCTGGATCTGGTACTGACAACGCCCGCCTCCAGAACCACCACTCGGCCACCACCACCAGCGCCCGACCACCGCCAGCGCCGGGCCACCCGGGCGGGAGGACACTCGTCTGCCTCGTGTGCGGCAGCTGCTGCGGCTGCTGCGAAGGCTGCGGCTGTGCGACTGCGGCGGCTGCGGCGGCTGCTGCTGCTGCGACTGTAGGGGGCGGCGGCTCAGCTGGACTGGGCAGGGTCCCCTCGTCCGCTCCAGCACCAGACGACCCGACTCCCACCACCACCCCTCCTGCACCCCCGCCTCCTCCGCCGCGCCCAACCTTGGGGCGGCGGCCCTTCCCCGAACGAAACTGCGCTGCAGCAGCAGTCTCAGCCACAGCGGCAGAGCCGTCGGAGAAGGTACACTGAGCGGGGGGCACAACCCTGAAAGATAGGGACCGGCACGACACGCTCGCCTGGGCGA